AGTGGTAAATCGGGGAGTTATATTTACTGCTTCCTGCATGTTTGGATTGTGTGTTAAATCATAATTGTGCAGAATGTTTCTGGCAATCGAAAACAATTTCAAGACATTGTCATCAACTGCCTTTTTAAAAAACAATAATCCAAAATTTTATTAATTGTATAAGAATATTTAAGATGTATGAAATGAAAATTCAGAAAACGAAGTGAAAGAAAATGATTTAGAGAATTGCTATTTTATAACTTAACAAATACTGCTAAAAATTTTATACTGAAGTTCAAGAAAGTTTTAAGTGTTAAAAATCTGTGCATTTTAAATTATAGAATAGTTTACCATTAAAAAATTTTTCTTAAAATAAATAATAGCATAATTTCTCAATTCTTAAATAAACAAAATATTTACTGATGTCAACTCATAAAACAATCTTTAATGTTAAAAAATTAAAATTCAACTCAAAAAGAATTTCATGTTTAAAAAGTGCACTATTAGTTTCTGCATTTCTTTTTTTGTATTTAATATGACAAAGAGAAAACTAACAAAATATCACAAGACTGTCTTATAATTCAAACAATTAAAAAGAGAGAATAGACACAGAAGCTTGTAATCTATATAACCAGCAAAATTTTTACAACCATTCAGTTTTTATTTTGGATAAAAATGATAGCACACACAAGAAGCAAAGTGAGAACTATTGCCATTAACCTATTATTATGCTATTAGAAACTTATTCTATTTATAACACTCCTAATGAAGAAAAACATTGCAAAATTTTTCTAGGAAGTCAGGATAAAATCAGTTTTTAAATGATTCATTTGTGCTGATGAGAGAAATGCTTTTATACCATCAAAAACAAATGAAGATTTTACACATTGTCAATGCATAATATTGTTTACTATTATCATTTGCAAACTACAGACAATTAAAGATACTAATCAAGGTTAAAAATATGCTTAAGCAGAATGTGAATGTCTTTAGAATGTGTCTCTTCTAAAAGGAATACATAAAAGTTAGAGGAAATGGTCTTTTCAAATAAATATTAATTTACCTACCCATTCATGATTGTCATATTTAATATAAAACATATCAATGATTAAAAAATTGTATTTAGTTTCCAGAAATCAAGTAGTTACAAGAACCCCCCTTTTTTTCCCCTTAGAAAGATACAGAAATCCATTATGGACATCTTTGGTGACCAACTTCTACACATAGCAAGTCGAATTCAATACGATGTTGGAGCCGTGAACTTCACTTTGCATTGCCAGAATTTTAAATAATTAAGTTTGATTCACAAACGATCTGATTCAAAATCCGATTTAAACTTTTAAGTGCAGATTCAACAAATACTAGGACAAAAATTAAGATGCCAACATTGGCATATTACAGTCAAATGTATAAGCCTACAAACAAAACCAGACATTTGGTAGTATGCATGCATAAATACTGACCTCAACAAATCTCAAATGAAATGGAGAACAGTCACTGAATATACTTATACAGTCAAAAGTCTTTAATCCGAAACTCAAAGCTACAAACTTTCTGTGCATATGCGTTTAGCGCATGTGCATAATACGTTTACGCATGCGCATACGAATGCATATAATACATTTATGCATGCGTGTTTAATGTGTATAACGGATGATATAAGCTAAGCTAAAATTATTTAATTATCTATTTCAGTTAATGTTGCAGATTGCATTGTTCCTTAATCTTCAAATTGGATCTGGCTTATTATTTTTTGCAGACTGTTAGGGCAATTTTATAAAAGTAAGCTTGAACTTTATGTCGATTATATCAAAAAGAATTTCCGATTCTGGATCTACAAAGCGAAAGCATGTTTTGATGTCCATCAAACAAAAAGTGGAATTGCTGCAAAAAATGGATAAAGGCATATCCTTTGTTTCTCTAACCATTTCGAAATCTGTTTATCAATTTCACATTGCTCTGCAGAGGGGGGGGGGACGTTGCGGCGTGAAATGAACTGGAAGTTGATCTGTCAGCACTATCCTTAACTTCAGGGCAGATGTTTTTATTTTATTCGGCTTATAATTCCTTACTAAATGTAATATTCATCTCGATGTACTCCTTTGATATGACTTAAATCAAATTCCTCATCATTATAAATATCACAAATACACATCAAATAGTTTTCTGGTTGAAATTTTCTAATTTCGACTGTGCATAATATATGCTTTACGCATGCGCGTGTTGAAAGAAATGTTTAATAAAATAAACAAATAAATATTAAGCTTTTTTTTTTGTAAATTTTGATAGCCTTTAGATCAAAATTGCTCTTTATTTCATAAATTACGGTTTCATATTTTTAATTTTATAATTTCTGCATGCCATCTTACCAGATTTAAATTGATGATCTATAATCTGGAAAAACCGAAGTCCAGATTAAAGACTTTTGTATAAAAGGAAACTTTGCTGAAACTAGTATGCAAACTAGATATTTACAACTACACTGATACTTCAATATATGTATATTTTAAAATACCACATAATAGTCACTGAATATACTTATATAAAAGCAAACTATGCTCAAACTGGTATGCAAAGTAGAGATATTTACAACTACACTGATACTTCGCTATATTGCTCCAAACCCTTGGATGTATACCAAATGAACTTTTCCAACAAGAATTAAAAGAAAAATAATTAGTCTATTTTTATAAAAAAAATCCTATTATTATAACACCCTGTTTAATACTAAAATATAAATGCAGTGGGTGAAATATATAAAACATTTTCATAGTCAAACAGGACATAGACCAAGCCGAACCTATTCTGAAGCAGAAGAACTAAGGTATCACTGTATTTTCATTTAATTTAGCAGATGCAGTGAAGGTAAACCATATTATTGTTTTAGTTGTTTCTTTACATTTCATTCGAACTGATCATTACATAAAGCAAATAACCACTTTGTCAAGAATAAACCTACAGCATGAAGCATTTTCCTACAGTAAGACTGTTTTCAGAATTTTCCTCAATAACCTTAAATTAATTTCATGCTCAATCCCACTAATTACTTGGCATTGTCAAAGAATATACCGTATATTCTGGCATATAACGCACGCTTTTAATACAAAAAATAAGATCGAAATTTATGGGTGCGCATTATACACCTGATATAAAAATTAGAAAAGGAAGAGTATACATAAATTAGATTTCTACATGTACCTAAATGCTGTTCATTCATTTGCGTTGAAATTTTAACCCCAAGTCATATTCTCCTTCTGAAAACCCTAGAACAATATTCTTGTGCACACCAGCACTGAATACAACCCACCCTTTTTGCAGAATTATTTATTCCCTTAAGCATTTTCCCCACACATATTGTTTCCCTTATCGCTTGTCAATTCAGCATACCATTGTTCAAAATTCTACGAAAAATCTTCGAATGAATGACTTCAAAAAATAAGCCCATCACACATGTACTTTTTAGTTTTTTCTTAAAGAAAAGGATACACGTCATACGGCGAATATGCCTCAAAATTAAAACATGCAGTTTGAAATTATAGGTGCGTGTTATATATCCAAATATATGGTGTGTATGTGTATATATATATATCTATATAATGTGTGTATGTACAATAAACCTTGCCGAATGCGGATTTTCACGCAATTTCGCATAAATCTTAATTGCTTCTAATTTAATTTGGTCAACACTAGAATTTCACTTATTCTTGATTCAATGTTCGTTCACTAACTATGATTGCTTACTGCCATCAGCTCTAGCCAGAAGTTAACAACAATTTTAAAGGATTAACATTGACTGAAAATGAAGCCAGAGAAATCATAAATTGAAAAAGCAATCGGCAGCAAATGTTTTCAAGAAGAAAGGGAAAAAACAAAGAATTATAATTGAGAAATGATGAATGATGAAATGTATAATCTTATAATAACAGAAAATGAAGAAATGCATGAAAGCTGTTATTATGAAGATAAGTGCTTTTAAATTACAAATTAAATTGTTCAAAACGGCCCCGTTTGATTTTGCAACTGAGATTGACCCAAATGAAAAAAGCAGAGGACACTTTATGAGGAGGCATTAAAAAAACCTGCACTCTTTTTCACACTTCTAACAAATTGCATTGTTGTGAATTGTGTCAAGCAAAAATCACCAGCTTTTAAAAAATTTATTTTATAATGTACTTACTAAACAATAATACAAATACCTTAAAATAGTTGTTTTTTCCTTTTAAATAAAATGATACTTAGGTTTGTTTAAATTATACATACTTCCCTCATCTGAATTATACCAAACACATTTTTTCTATAGAAAGCTGACTGCGGCGAACGCTCTTTTGCCATACATGCAAGTTATTAATGACTTAGATCCCCTCCAGTTTGTGAAGGGTTTACTGTATATATCTACTTGCATGAACTGCCACAAAATTATAAACCAATATACTAACTGAAAAAAGCTAGTCATAACTAATAAAAAATTAATGAAACTCGCTTATGAATGGATGAGTTCAAATCAACATTCCACACGTATTTATGCATTATTTTGCAATTTTGTTCGAAGAGTCAGTCATTGGGGTACTTGAAAAATAGCATTTTTATATACTGGAAAATCACAAAATAGTGTTGCTTCGACAAATATTGTCATACGTCCACGCTTTTATTTGCTTAGCTATAGCTTTTCAACAGCTACTTTTCTTTATCGCTGTGTATTGTTAAATGAGCAGTTTCATATCGTCTTCCCTCCCCAAACTGTATTCCTCGATGGATCAATGTTTTACAAGCAAGTCAAAGAAGACAAACAGTTTGTCCTGTCTGGTACCTCCAACAACAGAGAATGAAATGATAGAAGAAATTAAGATCAGGATTTTCTCTGCTACCTAACAAATTTTGGAATTTCATTGGCAGCATGGATGATTGCATGAAACTTACATTTATATGAAGAATGTTAATATTCTGTATTCAAGTTAGGCGGAAAAAAACTGCATTCACAAAAAGATTTTGCAATCTATTTACCTGTGTAATTTTCACAAAACAAATTTTTACAAAGCAGGACAAAAACTAAAAAATGGAATGAACCACTTTATTATTTATACCTGTGCTAAATTTTTGTATTTTTTATCTCATTACATTTTACCTATTTCAGCAATTCATACTTATACGATTTAGAAGTAAACTTGCAAAGAAACATTTGATTTTTATCTATTAAATATATATAAAAAATATGAAATTATACATACATTATAAATTCATTGGACTGGCAAATTGCAGTGGCAACACCACCTATAGTCAGCCATGGATTCAGAATAGTCTGACCACCAGTTACATGAGTTCCTGCTTCATATGCACAATCCTAACATAGGAAAACTATTTTGAGTTTGATAAGACATACAGTTAATAAGTCTTTCAATGATTTATAAAGAGTATTTTCAAGTACAGTCAAAAGTTGTTAATCCAGACTCGTCGGGACTTGTCGGCGAATCCGGATTATAGATCATCAGTTTAAATCTGGTAAGATAGCATGCAGAAATTATAAAGTTAAAAATATGAAACCGTAATTTATGAAATAAAGAACAATTATGATCTAAAGGGTATCAAAAATTTACCAAAAAAATTAATATTTATTTGTTTACTTTATTAAACATTTCTTTCAATGTAAGTTGTTTAAGTTGCTTTGTTTTATGTTCTAATACTTACTTTCTCTTTAATTCTATATTAACAGATATCATTTCTTGTTCAGTTACAAAGTTCCGCTGTTCAAGTCCTGTAATTGCTGTGCCGAGAATACCGACTAACTTGGCAATCGAAATTTTTTCGTTTTTACTAACCTCCTCTGTCACTTTCTTCATGCCTTTATCCATTTTTTGCAGCAATTCCACTTTTTGTTTGATGGACATTGAAACATACTTTCGCTTTGTAGATCCTTTGGGAGCTCCAGCATCGGAAATTCTATTTGACATAATCGAAAGTTCAAGCTTACTTTTATAAAATTGCTCTAACAGTCTGCAAAAAATAATAAGCCAGATCCAATTCGAAGATTAAAGAACAACGCAATCTGCAACATTAACTGAAATACATAATTAGATAATTTTAGCTTATACCGTCCGTTATACATTAAACGCGCATGCGTAAACGTATTACGCGCATATGCGCAGCCGTAAAGGTCTTACGCACATGCGTAAACGCCCTATGCGCAGAAAATTTGTAGTTTTGAGGTCCGGATTATAGATCATTCCGGATTATGGGTGTCCGAATTAACGACTTTTGACTGTATAATGTTATATTCCATTTTTGATTTACGAAGCTTATCGGAATTCACAAGAAAACTAGATTAATCATGTAGTATGCAAACTACTACAGTCTGTTATTAGTTATTTTTTATATGGCTGCTCTAAAATGAATTGTTTTAATAATTTCCCTTTCCCACATTTTACATTGCATTCAGATTTAAAAATAGTATTTTAGAGGCATTATCTAAGAAATAAATAACTAAAAGTGATAGATTGCATATATGATTATCAAAATTACTGAGTTAAAAATATGTTTTGCTGACAAATTTCAAATTGAGTGTTTATAACTACATTTATTCTGATTCAGCATAAGGATTTCTTAAACAACAAAAAACTCAAGAGTTTTTATGTACTTTGTTTGGTTTAATGTACTTATATTTTGCATAATTATAAGTATTTTGACTGTGCATATTTTATATAGCTCTAACTTTTAATTATTTATACAGCCACAATATTTGTTATGAAACAGGCCTGATATATTTGATCATGGAAAATAATAAACATAGGGTATCTATACAAAAGGATAAAGGAATTAATAATAAATGTTTGATGAGAAAGATATATCTAATGCAAAATTTTAAATTAGATGAAAATCATGTTTCCTGTTAAAGCATGCAAACTACGTCTAAACATCCTCAAAATCAAGACAGTTTTAATTGAAATCTATACCATTTCAAGCCGCGTTTTTGTCTAATTTAAAAAATCAATTTATAAGGAATCAAAAGGCAGATTGTTCTCTAATTTTGTAAAGGGTTTTAGCGTATTTTCAAATACAGTACAAGTGGCACTTCTGCTACAGGAATTGATAATTCCCCATATATTTGACATATAAGCTGTAATTCATTTGATTAATGTTTATACTATAAACATACATTTACATCAGAAACTAAATATTAAATTTTTTATTTTGCAAGATTTGAAAAATTAAATTAAAAATTCTTTGTCTTTTGTAATTTGACTTAAAATAATCTTCTTTAAACTGTACTCCACTTCATGAACTTATAGCAGTAGCAAATGAGTTTATTCTAAATTTCTGAAAATATACCAATGTTTTAAAGGTACTGAGACATGAGTAACAAATGAAGTTATAAGTAAGTGAGTGAGTGGGGTTTTTGGTACAAAACCAAAGATGATTATGACGTGCCAAACACAAGGTGGGATGATCAAAATTTATGAAATTAAAATACAATAAATAAAAAACAGGTGGTCAAATGCACCAAATCCAGAGGATGAAGTTATATAAAAACAAGGTAAAATCACATGTTAAAAATCCAAGACACAATCCTCAAAACAAATTAAATTAAGTAGTAAAAGCCAGTCTCTTTTAAATAATAAAATAAATTACAATTAGCCTCTCTTCCGATTAAACGGTCTAGATGTAAGTCACAGCTATTAAAATATTTCTGACAAAGACTATTAAAACATGACGGACAGATAGACAAACATTACAATTTGAACAAACAGGCTCATTCTCAGCTTTTAAAAGGTAGTTATGTGTCACTCTAGTGTGACCAATTGAGGCAAGTCAAAAGAACTTCCTCCTTACGATTTTTGGTTAATTCCCAATGCTCAATTCTAGGCTTTACATGTCTTAACTTGTTTTGAAGCTGAACATCCCAAAGTTCCTGCCATTTTTTTTCGGATCTTCTCTTTCACAACACAACAGATGTCTTCAAAAGGGATGAGGCGACTGGACAGTTCAACAGCACATTTGGCTGTGATATCTGCCAGCTCATTCCCTTTTATTCCCACATGCCCGGGAACCCAGCAGTACAGGATTTCATATCCACGACTCGTTAAGTTTATATGTAACTTCAGAATATCCACTATTACTGGATTTTGAGTATAAGAAAAGCTTCTAATGATTTAAGCGCACTATACGAGTCTGTATTAACTATAAACTTTTTGTGGCAGAGCCTTGAGATGTACAAAAGACTATAATATATTGCAGTTAGTTCGGATGTCAAGACAGAGAAAGCATGGTGCAAGCGTCTACCCTCCATGTGATCTCCGATTACAAGTGCCATCCCGACATGATCTTTTGACTTGGATCCATCTGTGTATACAGGAAGATAACAGCTATATCCGTGCCTGTGCTCAGCAAAGAGTCGTCTGTAAACTGATCTCGTTAGTGTTTGCCTTCACGTGATGCTTGAAAACATCAAGAAGGTGAATCCGTGCACCCTCCCAAGGTAGGATTTCAAAATTCTGTACTGCTTGGAGGTGCATATCAGAGAGGGAAAGTTCCTCAATGACAGGGCGAACTCTTAAAAGAAAGGTAGGAACACAGGATAGACGTGTTTCAAATAACGTGTTACACGCATCATCAAGTAAGCACAGCTTATTGGGATGTTCAGGTTGGGATAGAATATTAAAATATTGCAAAAGGGACAATTGTTCACACCTCAGATAAAGTGATGGTTCATTAGAGTCTACATATAGGCTCTGGACAGGAGAAGTCCTGAAAGCTCCTGAACAAATCGGCAGAGCTTGATGGTGAACAGGATCTAGTTTTAACAAACTAATTCATAAACAACTGAGCCATAGTCCAGTCTAGAGCGAACAAGCGCTCTGTAAATGCGAAGCATAGAGCAACGCTCTGCACCCCAGGAGGTGTTCGCCAACACTTTTAAAATATTTAGTGTTTTTAAACACTTCTTTCTCAGGTTTAAAACATGAGAAAGGAAAGTCAATTTTCGGTCGAAACGTCACTCCTAAAAATTTTACTTCAGGTGCAACTGGAATAATTGTACCATTCAGATATAACTCAGGCTCAGGATGGAGACATCGCTTCCTACAAAAGTGAACACACACAGTTTTCTGTTGGGAAAAAGTAAATCCCTGTTTGTTTGACCATTCTTAGATCTTATCAGAGCCATCTGCAATTGCCTCTCTACATATCTCATGTCTGCCCCTCGACAGCTAACCTGTAAATCATCGACATATAGAGATCCCAAGATGGTGAGAGGAAGTTCTTTTAGTACAGAGTTTATTTTTAAAATGAACAGGGTTACACTAAGCACACAGCCTTGAGGCACACCCGCTTCCTGTTCAAAAATATCTGACAAAACAGAGCCAATCCTTACTTGAAAAGTTCTAGTATTCGAGAAATTCTGTATGAAAATTGGTAGGTTGCCGCGCAAGCCACTCTCGTGAAGATCCCGAAGTATACCGTATCTCCATGCCTTATCATAAGCTTTCTCAATGTCGAAGAATATTGAGACAAGGTGACTTCTTCTGACAAAAGCCTTTTGAATGGATGTCTCTAAAAGGAGCATGTTATCTACGGTCGTTCTCCCCTTTCGAAAACCGCTTTGATAAGGTGATATAATATTTTTTTCCAAGAAGTAGACTAGGCGGCTGTTTACCATCTTTTCAACCAGTTTGCATACACAACTGGTAAGGGCAATTGGCCGATAGTTGGAGGGATTCCTTGGATCTTTCCCTGGCTTCGCAATAGGAATTACAACAGCTCTCCTCCATGCACTGGGGAAAATATGATCCTTCCACACTCTATTGTAAAGCGTGAGAAGGGCATTCAGTAACTTATAGAACAGATGTTTTAGCATTTCGTAATTCACGCCATCAAGACCCGGAGAAGACCTATGTGTCTGTAACAAAGCTCTCTTTAACTCTAGCACAGTAAAATCTCTATTATAAGGCTCAAAGTTGGAAGAGTTGAAAGCGATGGGATTTTTCTCAGAGCGTTGCTTGATAGAAAGAAATGCAGGTGAGTAATTTCGGCTGGAAGAAACGGCAAGAAATGTCTCACCAATAGTATTAGCAATTTCTTCTATAGAGCTAATCACTCGGCCATCTTTTTCCAAAAAGGAAAGTGAGTAGTCTTTATATATCCCGTATGCTTTTCTGACTCTTTCCCAAACCCGCTTACTAGGCGTAGAGGATGTTATTGATGACACATACGAAATCCAGGAATCCCTCTGGCTCTGCCCTCCTTACTTTCGTGCATTTGCTTTGGCTCTTTTAAATGCTATGAGGTTTCGCAGAGTAGGGTATCTACGAAAAATTACCCCATGCTTTTTTCTGTTTTTTCAGTGCTTCATGACAGTCGCGATTCCACCACGGTTTCGAATATTTTAGTATTTTTCCTGATGTTCTAGGAATGAAGAGCATAGCTGCCTGAAGTAATAGTAGTTAGTAAACAGCTTCCACTGCATCATCGATAAGCACATCTTCTACCATTTCTGTGTGAGCTCTGCAGAGGAAGAGAAGAGTTCCCAGTCTGCCCTGTCCAGTATGAACGAGGGAGTCTCGACATGGGGTTCGCTCCTCTTCGTGCAAGAGACAAAAAATGGGATAATGATCGCTGTTGTACAGGATCATTTCCGACACTAAAAGTGCAAAATGGCAACAGAGATGGTGAACAGATGGCAAGATCGAGAGCGTGGAATGTCCTTGAAGGCTCATGGAAGTAAGCGTCCTGCCCATTATTCAGGAGACAAAGGCTATGATCTTCGATTATCTGCTCAATTTGTCTTCCTCGGCAATTGGTGTATCTTTACTTCCCCAGAACGGACTATGGCCGTTAAAATCTCCTATTATGATAAAAGGCTCAGGCAGCTAGCTGAGCTACAAGGTCATTTAAATCTTGCTGATCAATGTGCTCATTGGAGGCAATAAAGAGAGAAACGACTGAAACAACAATATCAAAATTTGACTTGTACAGCGACAACTTGGAGAGATGTCGTCAAAGGAAAGGAACTTGAGGGATAAGTCCAGTGAGGTGAGGAGACCTACACCTCCACTGGCACGCTCACCTGCAAGGTTATCCTTCCTGACGAAGAGGAAACCTCCGAAGTTTTGGCATGTTGATCTGGTTTCAGATTTTTGTCTCTTGTATTGCCAAGCACACAGGATGATAAGCATTATTATAGCTTTGATGTCAAGGCAAATTTCGGTGGAAACCGCGACAGTTCCATGAGACGAGGGTGGCCATTATGATTGATGTTTGTTCCCTCTGTGTTGCTTTTTAGTTTTTCGCGGAAGTAGATGCTCGGGAACTTCCATTCCTTCCTCCACTTCCATACTGTCTGAATCTAGAGATTCAGAATTCATATCATCTACAGAACTATTGCTTCGGCTTCTATTTTTGGATGCTATTTTTGGAGGCACAGTTTTTGGTTTGCTCAAGATTGTTATTTCTTTATTTTGTACGACATGGGTTGGATTTTCCTTTTTCTTACTTGCAGGCTGCTGGGTTTTATTTGGTGGAGTCTGTGTACTTATGGAAGTTTGAGTGGCTATAGTACGTGTTGATTTAACGGCGCCGGCATATGATTTGTTTGATTGAGGCTGTGTGCTTTGAACTTGTCTCCTGGCTTCGGCATATGAAATGTTCCTAGAAACTTTTATGGTCTGAACTTCCTTTTCTAATTTCCATTTTGGACAAAAACGGGAAAATGCTGGATGGTTGCCCTTGCAATTAATACACAGTGCTACAGCAGTGCAATTATTGCTATCGTGGCCAACCGACGAACACCGAGCGCACGTCAGCGTCCCACAACAGGACATCTTGGAATGGCCAAAATGCTGGCACTGGAAGTATCGCATGGGGTTTGGAATATAAGGTCTTACGAGGCAATTTAGATATCTAGCCTTAATATTCTTCGGCAGATCAGGCGATTTGAAGGTCAGGATCACGTGTTTTGTGTCAATCAACTGACCTTCCTTACGCATCTTGATCCACTTGGCAGCACAAACCTTTTGATCAGCTAACTCGGAGACGAACTCTTCTTCTAAAACACACAGAAGGTCGCTTTCCGAGATTACGCCTCTACAGAAATTAAGTGTTTTGTGCGCTGACACAGTGTTATAGCACTACCTGTCCAAGTTTGGTTTGTCGTAAAAGTGAAGCAGACTGGGTGGCCGAAACAGGTATTCAATAAGCAGGTCTCCAGAACGGAGACGCTTTATGTTCCTTGGCTCACCTATGCAGGATTGAATGTATTTGTTTATCAGGAAAAGAGACATCTTTTTGAATTCTACAGAGGCACTGGAAACAACAACAAAGCGAGGACATTCAGTAGTTTCTTTGGCATTTGCATCGGTATGAAATTTCTTGCTCACAGATTTGTCGATGATTTCAATATCTTGATTTGTGTCATTTGATTCAGGTTTTTTTTAAATAAAAAGAGAAGCCATGATTGAAAAATATTAAGATTCGGGTCCGACGGCCCCGCCCACCATGGAGCCCAACAAGGGAACACAGATTCCTGTGTTAGGGCTAGCCAGACCTATACCCAAACTGAAGCCCCACAGTCGGCTTTCCCGAAAGCAGGTACTCCCGAGAGCTTGACCCCAAGCCACTGACACAAGGACTAGTGACCAGCCGATTGACACCCGTGAGGATGACTAAAGGTGCCTCCCGTTTAGCTGAAGCAGAGGCCAAAGCAGTGTGTTGGGGACAGTACCCCGCCCCTCAACTACCAGGACCCACCTTTACAGCGTCACGGGTCTCCACGCACGGCAAACACGTGGGCAGTTTTCTCGCCACTCAAAAACTAGAGACCAGGGCTGCTCCAGTCTCTCGTGATGAGCCCCAAACTCCGTAGAGAGAAACCACAAGGGAGAAGGGAAGGGAAAAAGTTACAGCTAAGAGGAGAGAAGACGGAAAAGAGGATAGATCACTGGAGCTCCAGGATCGTGACAACCGTCTCACCAAGAAGATGATCCCCCGAAGGGCTAGGGTACCTCGGGATTGCCACACCCATACTCACAAAAGTGAGCCCCTGAGGGGCAAATGAAGTTATAAAGTTAGGATATTATTTAAAAGCCCATACTGCATTTAAATATACATATAACTATACTCAGTGGCGTAACAGCCCTAGTGGGCCAATGTCTGCACTGCCCCGAAATTTGCTTTCTTGACCGTGAGCCCCAGGGTACGTAAGCATATGCCCTGAACAAGTGGTCAACTTGGTCGCAGAACCCCCACAAATATACATATAAGATTACAAAAGTTTCATATCTATAAAAGATATTCCATATCTATAAAAGCAGCTGACTTATTTTGTATAAGCCTTAGGTTATACAGTAAAATCATCAGACCAATTTTCTTAATCCTGCTATGGTGCCAACACACAAATGACACACCAATATGTCGGCCGCATTACTGCTAATTGATATAATGCATCGTATCTGCCAGCTGGCAGAAAACTAGTATGATGTATCATGTAGATGCCAGGGGGCATGAGGCTTGTAAATATGCTAGGTGGCATAAGGGTTGTATATAAATTGTAAATAAATGTACAATAAAATACCTTTTCATTAATCAAACGACATGAAACAAACAACACCTGGCGTTCACAAAATCATGGATTCTGCAAAAGGATTTATCATACAGAGCAATGCTATATTTACAGATGAGTTGAAATTTAATATTTTGGGTGAGGCATAAATTACTGCATTACAGTTACTCGAAAAAGATTGGGAACCTGATGTACATAAATGCAACATTTTTAGTTAACAAAGGTGAAGGATTATAAAACTTGTAATTCTTGACTAAAATAACTAATATCTCTGTCTATTATATACTTTTTTTAAGTTAATACAAAATATAAATCAAGTTTCAATTAAAACGTGAATTGAAATATGATTTCCATGCATAACTAAAGCAAAAATTTTTTAATATTTTTATTGTTAAAAAAAAGATACATGTCAGTCTCAATTGCTATTTGAAAATATTCAACAATATCAAATTCATTTAAATTTTCAAACTAATATAGAAAATACATACCTTAAAACCCTGTATGATAATTGGTATGACTACATCCCTCTCATTTTCACTCATTTTATTACTAACACATAGCAGCATGAGCATGTTATCACATTCAGTCACACCCATGGCATATAAATCACTAAGAACATTTGCACATGTTATCCTTCCCTGTAAAATTTTAAATAGTCATAAATTAAAAGGTTAAAAAAATAAAATAAATTCATATAAAGAAACACAGCTATCCTTAGAAAAGAGAAAAAGACTGCATTGAAAGGATTTATTTCTCTTTCAGCTTTTTTCAATAACTATACCAGAAAGGTTGGTATTTTCTAATTATCTGTCTTCGATTTCAACATTCACTAGAATTACTGTATTTCTGGTGTATTTTCGACAATACATGGCATAACAGTGCACAACTATTGAGAGCATAGGTATTTATCTACTTTTAGGTAACTTCCATTTCTTTGACCAGTCCCACAGGCAATTTTTTATAACGAATCATGATGGAATTGTAGAATTTATGGCTGATAAATACAAAGTATTAGAAAACCAGTTAAGGACAGCTAAGTACCTATGAGTCTTAAAGATAGCAAAACAAAGTTTTTCACTGAGAGCTATCAATTTTTTATAGGCAAATGGATAATCAAAAAATACTTTTTTCTGACATTTGCAAAATTTAAAAAAAACTAACATGCAAGTCCCTAACTTATAAAAAAAATTAAGAGTTAAATTAATAAAGTTATTACAATTGCATAATATGTTAAAAGTTCGATTTTATAATTTAACAATTATAAAAAATCATATCATATCTAATTATAATTTGAGAATTATAAAAAAACATATCTGGCATTAAAACCAAATATGTTAGTCTACAACTCCAGAAGACTTCAATGACAATCACGCAATAATACTTTACTCTTTTTTTTACACTTTAGCTGGATGCATGTGATAAATTGTTGAAATTACAATACTGCCAACTATTTTCTATGGATTTCTAACAACTTATGCTCAATTATTTTACTGTGATTGCAATATGCTTAAGCACGAGGAAAATCTGTGGCTTCTGAGGAGGAGTATGAGTAGTACAGTTTTTTCCCTCTCTAAAGGAAAAGTTTCCCTACAAACAGTGGCGTAGCACGCATACCTTTTTGATGCCCCCCCCAAAAAAAACACTTATAGTAATATAATGTATAGAATATATTCGTAATAAAAAAATAATGCAAATAATATTAAAATGCTGAATCTGCCATAAAATACTTTAAAATATAATAGTCATTACCTAACTACACTAGCATTGGATTCGGAAATGTATCTGTGTCGGCGGAAAATCAGACATACGATGATCTAGAATTAGTTAAAAAGTTATTATTTTACATATTTTATAATTGTTTTTTAAAAAGTACAATTTTTAAACAGTTAAAATTTTATATTATAGATAAGTAGATATATTTATTAATAATAATACAATAATATAAATTCATTACTATGTACACATTTTTCTTGCCTTGGATGAAGCAAATTTATCAATTACGTCATCAAAGTCGATCCTTTCAAATTTTTCTCTTTCCTACAATTAAAAATGCCAGATGACTTGGGGATCTTGTCCCATTCGTTGATTGGTAAATATGTAAAAATTTATTTTAATTTACTGAACGAACGTTCACTGAACCAGAAGGGGGAATTTCTTAGTTTCGGGGAGGAATGCTGCTTCTTTTATTTACCTGTTCAGTGTTTAGTTTTAAGCTAGTTCACTATTTGTATTTCACTGTGAGTGGGATTTTGTCATTAATTTTTAACCTACTTCTTCCTAATAAGCTATTGAGCTTAAATTCTGTACTCATACTGTTGATCAAAGACAATTGGAAGTGCGACTCTTAAGGTTTGGCAAAACATTTTCTCTATAGATCTGTAATGGAGTTTTAGGTTCGGTTCCTTTTCTACTGCGGAGTAACTTCTTGCAATCACATTCACTGCTCAAAAGCAATTAGGGGATATTGTGGTTCGGTAATGAAACAACCATAAAATCGACAACCTTATTTAATAAAGAGGAAATAGAAGAGATTATAAAGGAAAATTATAATGTTTACAAAATTGGGAATATGCAAATTTAGTCTGTGACATCGAAAGCTATGCGTTTTACATAAGGAATAAGGAGCAATCTGCAGCATTCCTTTTGTAGTAAGAGATTAAAAACAATTGACATGCGATGAATGCTTTGCAGCAATAAATATATGATGTCTCAACAAGATGACTTAGTTGAATCGGTAGCCAGGAAGGCCATCAGTCGTTTACAGGAGAATCAAATGCAATCCTTTGTAGCGGAAGCATTAGGAGTTTCCCAGAATGTCATTTCCAGACTATAGAATCGGTTTCTGAAAACTGGGTATGTTTGAGAAATTCGGGACAAGGTCGTGTTATCGTTTTAAAATAAAAAGCAGGGAGCTATACGTGCATTTTGTTTAAAAAATTTAAATATATCTCTATTTTAGAGAAATAAAGTGGTCAGAAAGAATGTTTTATATACGGAGATATTTGGTTGATGTATTGCAAATATTTTATTACATTTTTTTCAGGCAATACAAGGAAATAAATAATTAATTATATTACAGTGATTATTAATTTTACGTACATTTTCCAGAAATCAATCAAAATAAAAACTGAAATTTTCCAGAAAATCTTGTTTGGAGACAATTTGGTGCCCTCCTGCAAGTGGCGCCCGGGGCATCATACACCCCCTCTCGCTACGCCACTGCCTACAAAAGAAACTACAAACAAAAAAGGCAGCATTCAATGGTAGTGCACTGCTTTTATCTGTTGTAGCAAAAAAAGATACCATAAAAGAACACAATTTGAACCACTGAGATCAAATGTAATGTCTCCAAGGTTTAGTTATAGTTAGATCAAAGAAAAGAACTCAGTAAACTAACTGATGGAAGAAATTCCAGTTAATATAAGAAAAAAAGCTGCTCTTTTATTTCTTTATCATGTTTATAATAAATGGTGCTCTGATGTTTAAATGAAATGTTTTTTCAGTTCATTGTATGATTTACCATATTATGCATTTTTACAGTTTAAATTAAATGAGAAAAAGGGCTTTATTTTTTAATATTTGCATTTTTACTACCGATGAATAAGTTTAAATTCTTTAATCAAGCATGGTGTCTGGCTTATTTGTAAAAAAATTAAAAGCTCTGACATTTTACATTAAGCCCAAAGAGCGTTTTTTTTTTTTTTTTTTTTTTTTTAAAACATTTTCTGCGTTACCTTTATTTATTAAATTTCATGTTCTTTGCACTTAAACCACAAAATTCAATTCAACAGCAATATTATGAAATAATTTTAAAATCAGCATATCTTTAGCATTTTCGATACACAGTCTCATGCAATGGAGATAAAATTGTTCCTCCCCCCCTCCGTGTTGCCATTGCTCGCTTTAAAATCGTTGAGTTTCTTAATCAAAAATTTCTTAAGTGTTACAAAATATGAAATTGGTAATAAAACAAATTCCAAATTTGGGCTTCCAGATGCCCATATTTGGAGGACGATTACATTATTCAAAATTTGATAGCTCTAGATACTGTTTTTTTATTGCAATATGGGAAACATACATACATTTATGCAGATTCTTCACTATTTAATTTCTTTAAATATAACATATTGTGATATTTGATGGCAACCATTTGAAAAGTGATATGGACATTTACAGTGAATTGATGCAAAATGCCAAAACTAAATTAATAGCCCTTCTGAGCTAATGCTCCCTTGGGCTAAAACACACTTGACTGCTCACATCGTTTGAAATTAACAAAAAAGACAATTTTCCCCCTTAATTTCATCAATTTTTGCATGAAATAAGGAAAAAAAAACATACGTGCAACTGTAAACTTCTTATATAATACTGGTACCTTATGCCACCAACTTGGCTGACTGTTTTCAGTTCAGAGCAATTTCAGATTTTGCTTATAAATACAGTTCACTACAGCCAAGATGTAAAATTAAAACTACCACAGCCATACAGAAGGCCATTAGGAACACAGAATGAATGTGATAATAACAGTAATAAATAGCACAACTAATAAGGAATAATTAAATTAAATGTAAACAACTAAAAATATTTAAAAAGTAAGAATAAACACATAAACAATACAAAATTATTCATGCATCCAACCATGGAACCTTTTAAAAATGCATAACAAATATGCAGTGGCAAAGGAGATAATTTTCATTTATTAATATATTTAATACACATACCATTATATATGGATCATCGCATAAGGGATAAAAGAAGTCTGTAGTTTGAACCAAAGACAATCCTCCGTGTCTTAAAGGAATTACACTACAATCCATGCCAATTCCTACAATCAGAATTATTAAAATACATTGTAACAAATATCAAACACAATTTATGGGTAGAGTACACTTTAAGGTACCCCTTGTATTATGGTGAAGTTGTTGTTTGATTTATTGCCAAGTTGTTGTTTCATTTATGGTAGCCTGAGTAGTTGAATGTTATGGAAACCCTATTGTGACGTAATCGGGTGCATGATTCTGGGAAATTTTGAATCATGGAATGTTTTGTAGGCGTTTTTGTGATGTGTGTTTAAAACCGTTTAGATGGACTTGAATGGGTTTGTAGGAAGAAAGGTTCAGCTGGTCACTATGTGAAGCGTTACCTGGTTTGAAAAAAGTCATTTGAGTATGATTGATATTTTAATTTTTATGTGGCTCTGGGTGTACAAAGCGAACTCGAAAATCATCAGGATGGAATTGAATATTAATAATAATAGCAGTCCTTAAACTGTATAACATGTTTTTCTTTTTTTATGTTATTTTATTGTTTGGTTTAAAATGTATTTTATTGAGATTATGTATTTTTTGTTTGCCTATATTGTAGACTTTTTAAGTGAAAATAATATATCGATGTGTACATGGACAAAGTAAAGGGAGTGCTCAATGCAAGTTTGTGCAATTCTGGGATTTTTTTTTAAAGTGAAAATAGGTCGACGTGTATATGGATAAAGTTAAAAGAGTGTGCAATGCTATTTTTGTGCAATTCGGGGATTTTTTTTTTAAGTGAAAGTAGGTGGACGTGTACATGGATAAAGTCAAAGGAGTACGCAATGCCATTTGGCTGATCTTTGGAATATGGTAACTGGTAGTTTGGCGACATTTTGGAGGCGATAAAGGTTACTACCTAGGACTTTGGTAATAATGTGAGAAGTACTTAGTTCCGATTACGCATTATTTTGTGTGAGGGAAATGAGATATGTCATGTGACATTAATGGACAAATTACAGTTCTTTAATCGGAAAAAGGGGGGGGGAATTTGGAAAACTGTAGTACTATATTATTTTGTATTAAGCTTCATTGTGTGTTGCGTGAAATAGTGAAGTGTGCGTGCCATGTAACGAAGATTCTGAAGATTACGTAAGTTAGTATTTTTAATCATTTCAGGATATTATTTTAATGCATTGTTCTAAATGTAAGGAGTAAATAAATTAATATGATATTATTGGAAAATTGTTATTAGCAGATTTAGTTTAAAGTATTAGGATTGTAATCTAATTTTTATTAATTTAATGTATGTGCTTATTTTATTTAAGTAGTGTTTTTTCATTTAATTCTTTTTAATTAATGATCGTGATTTTGTGAGTATATGTTTGTAGCATTTTTGGAATACGTTTGAGTAGAATACGTTGAGTATTTTCATGCATTTTTTCGTGAAATTTTCTAATTTATGAGAAAAGCAGTGTACATGGATAATAGTGAAGAGTGTGCGCAATGCCATTTTTGTGCAATTCTGGGATGTTTTTTTAAGTAAAATAAGTCGACGTGTACATGGTTTAGTGATATTTTAATTAAATGATAGTTATTTTGTGAATTTTATATTTGTAGGAATTGGTATACGTTTCAGTTAAAGTAAACGTGCATGGAAGTAATTTAAATATTGGACACTAAGTATTTGTAACCATTTGTAATGTTGCGGTATGAATTCGTTGGTGACGTTTATAATAAATAGATAATTTAGAGGTAATAGTTTTTGGATATTTTATTTATTTTATACGTGGAAATGTTCATCCTTGGAAAGGGTATAGACTTTTTCGCGATCAGGTAATTTCATATATGTGCTTATTTATCGAGTTTAAAGATTCACAGAATTTTTTTGCATTTTTGTGCAAATTTTTGTAATTTATGAGAAAATAGCAGTGTAGATGGATAAAGTTAAGAGTGTGTGCAATGCCATTTTTGTGCAATTCTGGAATTTTTTTTAAGTAAAAATAAGTCGACGTGTAAATGGTTTATGTGTACAGTAAGACCCCGCTTAACGCTGTTTCGGTTTAGCGCTCTTTTATTTCAACCCGGGGATTCCACGAAATCGCTCGCAGCATACGGGGATTCCACGAAATATTATGCAGCGATAGATTTCAAATACATATCCGAAAGCGTGTACTTGTATTTCTTGTTTGGTGCGGTATTGTACAGACATATTTTGAAGGGGTAAATGTGGAAGATGTCGAAGAAATAATTCAAGAAGCAGCGGCTAGTCTTTCTAATGATGAGCTCAAGGAATTAACTGAACAAGAAGAAAAAAAAAATGTTGACAGCAGGATTCAGAAGAAGAGCAAAAAAAACTTTTCGATGGCGTTTTGTAAAAAGGAGTTTGTCTACCATACTGAAATAATGGATCAATTCATTGAAAATGATCCGAATTTTGACAGGAGCTCAAAAGTAAGGCGTGGTGTTAGAGATGCTCTATCCGTTTATGAAGAACTTTTAAGAGAACAACGCAAAAGAAAAAGGCAAACAACATTAGATGCTTTTGTCACAAAAGGCAGAACACTGAAAAACGCGGAAGGCTAACTAAATATGACTGACTTAGAATTTTATTGTTTTTTTTTTTAAGAATAATATTTTTTATTTATATTTGTTTTTATTTTTTGCAGAAATAATAATGTGGTATTAATTTGGGCTTTAAGAAATAAATGTTTGGTTTTATTTTATATTAAAAAACACTTTTTAAATTTAATACCTAACTAATTTCCTAGCCATCTTCCCCTAACCCCAATATTTAAATGTAAAGATAGCCTCGTTTAGCGCTGTTTCGCATTACGCTCTACTTTGATGGAACGTATCCCCCGCGTTAAGCGGGGTCTTACTGTATGTGCTATTCTGAAAAACGCGCAAGGAGTTTGCGATTCTGCACTTTTCCCCAATTTTGCAGTTAATATTTGTCATGATTAAGCAGTTTTGTTACATAAAATTTCTAGCATAAGTGTAATTCGGCTAGTAGATTGTTGGAAAAAGTGTTCAGTAAATAAAAAGAAACATGTCTTTGGCGGCAAAAAAAAAAAAAAAGAGGGTTGCTGTAGCAGAGTTGGTCGCCAAATTTTCGCCAAGTTACCATAATCCAAAGATCAACCTGCCATTTTTGTGCAATTCGGGCGGTTTAAGTGAAAATAAGTCTATGTGTATATGGATACCGAGTTTGTGCAATTGTTTGTCTTGTTATTTTGGCAGAAGCACTTCCGCAGAAAACCCGGTAAATGTAAACATTGCCAACTTTGGCGATAATAGTTCAAACCTGGTAACCCATCAGATTTATCCTGTTCGCTTGTTCGAAGTTTGCAACCATTCCTCTTGCGTTCATTTTTTTAAATTATCACTGTTGTTGTTCGCATTTGCAGATTTATTTCTTCTCTTATTTATTATTATTTTTGCTGAATTTTTTAACAACGAATAGATAGAAATATTTTCGTAGATAGATGCCTGTTCTTGGTTCGGGATGAAAGGAAGAAAATACGGCGGGAGGGGTAAATGCTAATTTGTAACACAGCTGTTCACCTTGTGTTCTTAATTATTAACAGCTCTATGAACCATGAGGTTTCCAACCTCTAAAATAATTTGTTTTCGTAGGCCACAAAAATGTGCATATGCATTTTAAATAATTATGTAATGCTTTTATTTTTATTATTGGTTATTGTCATCTAAAATTATGAGAATAAATCAATTTTTATGGCGTAAAATTTTAACAAGTTAATATATTGTTAATGCTTTTCTAACAATAACCTTTCAAAGGGTGGCAGGTGTGACATAAATAGATGATTAAATTGAAATAAAAAATATTATTGATTATCTAAGATGACAAAATAGTTGATGCATCACCATGGTCATCAAAATTAGCAAACAACTGCTGGTGTAAGGGATATATTGTTTTCTGTGTTAACTGGAATTTAAGACAAAATTTTTTCGTACATCACGTTTACCTGGTTAATTTCAGTACATTAATACAAATTTATATTTTTAAATGAATTTTTATTTCCGTTATAAAAGCTTATATGTCTTGTGCTTAATAATATATTCTTTCCTGTGCTAACTTGAATTTACTATAAATTTATTTACGTATATCACGTTTAACAGGTTAGTTTTACATTTACATGCTTATTATCTGTGAATTTTTTTTTACATGCATTAAAAATCACGTTTACAATATATCACGTTTACGGCTCGGCTCATCGAGCTTGGCGAGTAAAAATGCAACGGCGCCAACGGGTTCTCTGCGGATGTAAACCCATTTTGGCTTTGTGAACGGTGATTTTTGGTGCAAAAATCGCCGCTTCGCAAGCCAAAATAACGAGGCAAGGAATTGCACAAAATCGGTATCCATGTACCGCCAAAAATCGCCAAGGGGTAACCTAAACTATACTTTTACCCAATTTATTACATAAGGTTATTTCAAACATTTGTTTAAAATACACATAAAAGAATAGATGTTGTCGCTAATCAAAACATGTTGTCAAGGCGGCACTTTTGTACGAATAAGAAGCAAAAAGGAACTAAGAACAACGTAACTTTACGCATAAATTTTTTTAAACAGTTGTTGAATTGAAACGTCATTACGAACAAATGTGTCGTAAAATGGTTGAGTTATTAAAGAAGTATAACAAAGTTCAGTTGAAATATAAAATAACAAAACGATCGAAATCTTTTCCTAATATTTAAAGAATATATTCAAATAAAACATTATTCAGCATTTTAAACTTTTTATATATAATGAAATCACGAACTTTCACAGATAAGTAAACTTACCCATTCGAGGAACAGACATATGCATAAAATGTTCTCCAGCATCCTGAGTATTTGAATCTTGATCTAGTCCCTCAAGCAGTTTCAGAAGAACCTCTTGAGGGACTTTACATCCTCATCCACGCAATTCAGAAGTAAACTTCGTAATTCGAAAATCAGGATCTAACCCGTGAGCAACTGGATCAAACTGATGCCGAAGTCTCAAGGGAGTATTACTAACTTCTAATTCTGCCGCAGCCATACATACTTGTGATGTAGCTTCCATTTTTATCTAAGCTCAAAATTAACAGTGGGAGCTTTAGCAGACGGCAAGTTCTCCGCTTCAACAAAATGGTAATATGTTTGGAGAGGTCCAGGTACTGCTGAAGCAGCGATTTGCAGAAATTGGTCACGTGACTTTGTACGCAAGAGAACATCACATGACTTAGAAAAGCATGTACTGGTGGTGCATCGAAAGGAAATTGGGGAAGTGGGAAATTAACGATGCGCTTTGTATTTAGCATTCTAAGTAGTTTTAAGTGTAACTACTACTTGTACTCTGTAATACTGGAAAAAGCTGTAGGAGTATTTTTGTGGAAATTTCCAGAACTGTGAAATGTTTTTTTGTTAAATAAATTTCATCAAGCTGTCATCGATTCCATGTGCATTCGATCTATTACGAACATCTATTACGCATGCAACAAGTTTTGGTATCAGACTTGGGATTAAATGCCAATGAGAACTGCGATAGAGGAGCAAATATGACAGCTCATGACTGCCTTTGTCGCAATCCCAGAAAGATGAAAGAGGTCGTCAAGTCTGCCAAAGGAGAGATAAAAGCAGGACAACAATCCGTTAAAGAAAATGATGAAAGCGCGCCAAAGAAAGACTGAAGCAGGTCAAGAAGGAATTAAAAGAAAAATGATGCCGCAATTGAAAATTTGTAGGCCATGGAAGGCAGAATAGACACGTTTGAAGACAAAGTTAGAGAAATTCAAGAAAAAGTTTCGGTTGTCTGACAGCAAATTGGAAAAAGAGTTTCTATCGTCTAGCATAAATCCAATAACAAATTGATGACAGGGCTTCTGCTGCTGTCGCCAAGAAAGTTGTGAGTTTAAATAGATCCATAAAGACATCTGGTCACATCTTAAATGCCTTTATGTTTGAATATATGTCATCCCGACCCTCTCTAAAGCTACACACATATCATCGAAAGGCCTCCTGACAAGTGTACAAGACGCGGTTCTCTCTAACGCAAATGGATAGGATTCCGAAGCTAAAGTCTGCCATCTACACACGCTTCTCTGAGAGCAGACGCAACGGATATGCTTCACTTTCCAAAAACCAGAAGCTACACTTCGAAGCTCTGTCCGACCCGTTGTAGCTTCACTTTGGAAAGGATTGTTCAAAAAACATAGTACGCGGAATTAAAATTTCGCCTACAGAAGGCCACGGATACATTTCACAAGGTCTCCAAGGATGATGTCTTATCTCGCTTTTGGGGACCACCCGACGCAGGCAAGAGAATAATCTCCCTGCAGTACTTCATCAATGGTATCCAGTATCCTCAGATAGAGCAAGCCATCAGAATGGCGTATGTCAAAGATTTAAAAAGCGCATAGTGGGGTGGGTGGTGGGAGCGGATGGTAAGAATGCTCAAGGAACTTCTGCGTCGAGTGTTAGGAAAATCCATCGTAGATTACGAAGAGCTCAACATGCGACTGTTAATAAACGCTAGACTGCTGACCAATGCGACTGTTAATAAACGCTAGACTGCTGACCTACATACAAGATGATGCATGTAAAATGGCACCATGAAAACCAGGAATATTTATTCATGAAGGCAGCAACAGCGAGACTCCAGAGATTGAAAAAGTAGACTGATCTTCTCTGATAAAACGCATAAAGTACTTGCAGAAGTTACGAGAAAATCCTAAACAAACATTTAGAAATGAGCATCTTGCTGTTTTAGCCCACAAGAGAGTAAGAAGAAATAATATTTTAAACTTTGGCCATAATTTTCTAATTGGGCATGATCATGTCCGATGCATCAAGTGGTCTCTTGAAATAATTTTAGAAATCACTCCTGATAAAAACGGTGTTCTAAGAGTTGCAAGTGTAAAAACCTAAGGGTAAGAAGATAGGTCCTTTTCAAAGACTCTATCCGTTAGAAGTGTCAGCAAAAGCTGATGTTGATGTCTTGAAAGCTTCTAGAAAAACTGGTATATCTGTCAGAACTATTCCCGACCCTTCGGTTGAGAACACTAATACCTTAGATAAAAATAACACGCCGAACAAATATTGATTTAGAAATCAAACAACAAAAATCAGCCTTATATTTGCAAATTTTAACTGGACTAGTTTCGATGGTTTTACCGAACTATCAGTTTCAGCTGCCAAAGCGCGTATGAACAAGATAAGATATAATGATAAGAATGGCTAGATAGGAGTTCAGCTACTGGCGCCATCTATAAATGAAACAAGAAAACTAAAACATAATCTCCTTAAAGGTTGGAGGTAAAGATGGATTGATTGATATTAGGGTCGTTAAATAGAACAGAAATACTTTTTGGAATGTAAAACACCTCTAGAAAATTTAATTCATCAATTCAATTGACAAAAGTTACATTTTATATGAAAAAATAAATAAAACAAATTGTATTAAGAAATACACATCACGAATACATGACAACATATCGCGAATTTCAAAAGGTAATACACAATGTTACATTAATTAAAATTATAGGTATATTTTTAGCCCTATTGAATTTCGGTAAATACTGCTCAAAATGCTTGCGCAAAATCCGATACAAGTTGCATAGTGTATGGGGTTTAAAAATAAAAATATGTCTCGCTGGAGTTAGATGTCAAGATGTTAGTTAGCTGTCAGTACATTTTTCAAATACGAAGAGTGAAAATTTAGTTTTCGCAAAATTTAATTCAATTCTGAATAAAAAAGACTTTCATACAATATTTTTCTGATTGATATTAAGAGTTTATTTCTCTACATTTTAAACTTTCTATGTTACGTTTTAAGCGAGAGGTGTGGTCAATAGAAATGATGTTAGGAAGCTGCGATTTAATTCCAAGATTTTTAATCCCACAGAGATGAGACGATTTTACCCTTAGCTTAAAAATAGCTGAATCGTTAAACATAGCGTCGCCATATTACAAAGGTTACTCTTACTAGGTGAGGAAGTTACGAGATCCAGGCTCCTAGGCAAGACATTTACAAAAATTAAATAATAAGTTCTGAATTTTTACAAATAATATAAGCTTTGTAAATTTTAAGTACATATAAGGAGATATAAATGCCCAGCTGTGAGACAACGTTTCAATTTATAGGAAAAATTTAATTGCGAACACCGCACATTTTTTTTTTTTTTTTTATGAATAAATAGCATTGCATAGGTTATTATGATAAATAGATAGGTAACATCCCAAGCAAGCTAACTAAAATTTAATTGGGTGCCTTATTTGCTAACAGAATAGCAGTGCATAGGTTTGTCTATAAATAGCATTGCATAGGTAACAATCCCAAGCAAAGCTAACTAAAATTTAATTGGGTGCCTTATTTGCTAACAGAATTGATTTCCGATAATATTTCAAAATAAACGAAGAGTTTATTTATATCATCTGTCTATTGTTTTAATTTAAGGATGTATTTTTCAAAATTTTGAGACATTCTCAAGATGCTGTTTTGTCCAAATATACTATGTATTTCTTTAATACATTTAAAGAAATCTAGAACCTCATTCCATAAAATATTCTATATAAAATATTCTATACTGAAACTGGCTGGGGGAATTCAGCAATAGTATGGCTGTTTGCCATAGGCTTATCATTATGTTGTAATGGGGAGTTCGATTGAGTTGCCTCCGCAAAACTTAGTTCAGGTTTAACTTTACTATTTTTCTTGAATGCAGGTTTATATTTTGGGAACATCACGACTATGATCCTCTGCGCATTTCACGCAGCAAGGTTGGAAGAAGCAATTCTCGGAAGAGTGACGCCACTTTTGACAATTGTGACGTTGCGGGATTTGATTTTTGGTTTTATACTTTTCAACAGAAAATATATAGAGCATCAGGTCTTTCAGTTTATACATTTCTTCTATACTGGCAGATTGCATGAGGGTAACCTGGAATAGTGGCATGGGAGCTCCTGTTCTATGTTTAGTAAGTTGAGCAATTTTTTGAACAGTGAAGCCTCCATCAGTAATTGCCTGTGTAATTTCTTGCTTATCAGAATTAGATGGCAGTCTCTTTATAATCACTTTGATGGGTTGTTTATATTTCTCATTGATGATGTAGTGCTCAGTTGCCTCGTTCTTAAAAAATGTAGTCAAGATTCTGTGGTCGTCGGGTGTTTGCTGAAAAATTTCAGGAACTCTCCCTTAATTTTAGCTAAGAATTTCAGGAATTCAGCTTCGGATTTAGCAGCAAATTGCTTTAGAAAACCTCCAAATTTAATTCAACCACGATTAACTGTTACGGTAGGGACATTTTTTACCTGCGAAGCAGGATTGCTCTGAATTCCCTCATCCATTGTATTATCATTCGCATTATTTACATCAATCTTTTCATTTTCATTAAGTACAGGAAACTTACTTTTAGTCTCTAACACCGATTTCGTCTTATCTATTTGCTCTTGTTTAGATGTTTTTACTGGCGCCTTAAAGCCTTCGCTATCACTATCAGTAAGTTCGTTAGCTCCTTCAGGAGTAGTTTTACGTTTATCATTTTTAGAGTTAGAATTTAGCCTATCATTAGGGTTAACAAAGTTTACAGCTGGGTTAGAACGGGTGGATTTGCCTGCCGGAATAGCTAAGCCACACTTACATCTGAGAATATCTGCCCCGGCTTGCATTTTCTTCAGTATCATCATCATTGGTCCAGTAACTTTATCCCCTTCAGCAATGGGTAACGTTTTGTGGTAGAGCTTCACTGTAGATCTAATCTTCATCGTTTCAGTTTCAATATCTTCAATTTGGTTTTTTTCATAAATTCAACTGAAGCATTATTATCCAAGGCAGTAGTATCGGCCACTCCAGAGCAGCTAGCGTGAATCGTAGTAGCGACCGCCGGACCACTAAAATCCATGTGGGTATTATTACTGCCTCCCAGGGAACAAACTTCGGGGTTGACGCTCATAAATGAGCACCTACATGCACGGATACAAGGGACCGAATGGAATATATACAAGTCTTGAATAAATACTTTAATGAAAGAGTACGAATCAGGATCGAGTTCGTCATCGCGTAAAACAGAGCTACCGGAGTGTACTGGAGCTACCGGGAGCTACTCGGCTATCGTCGCTGCAGGTGAACATACGGGTAAAATCCTAGGAGAGCCCACACCCTTGACGACAAACTGGGA